ATTATCATATTTTAAAGTCCTTTAGTTTCTTTTTATGTAGTTATACCACCACCTGGCTATGCATTCTGGTTCATTTGTTTCATTTTATTTTTTTTATTTTTAGGGATTGCATTATAAATTTAATTTTGTTAAATAATTATTAAAAATTATTATGGCTTCTAAGTAAAATGTACCAAATAAGGCACATCCAAAGAAGTCTAGCTTCAGAAATAGAAATATCATATGATGCAGCAATCCCACTCCTAGGAATATATCCTAGAGAAATAAGAACGGTCACATGAATAGACATATGCACACCCATGTTCATTGCAGCACTGCTCACAATAGCAAAAAGATGGAAACAACCTAGGTGCCCATCAACAGAAAAATGGATAAACAAACTATGGTACATACACACAATGGAGTACTATGCAACAATAAAGAACAATGAAGAATCTGCGAAGCATCTCACAACATGGATGAATCTGGAGGGCATTATGCTGAATGAAATAAGTCAATCACAAAAGGACAAATATTGTATGAGACCATTACTATAAAAACTCATGAAAAAGTTTACACACAAAAAGAACAATCTTTGATGGTTACAAGGGAGGGTAGGGGTGAGGATGGAAAAACACTAAATAAACAATAGATAAGTGGTAACTTTGGTGAAAGGTAAGACAGTACACAATACTGGGGAAGCCAGCACAACTTGTACAAGGCAAGGTCATGTAAGCTCTATAGACACATCCGAACTCCCTGAGGGACTGAATTACTGGGCTGAAAGCTGTGGGGACCATGGTCTCGTGGAACATCTACCTCAACTGGCATAACATAGTTTATAAAGAAAATGTTCTACATTCTACTTTGGTGAGTAGCATCTGAGGTCTTAGAAGCTTGTGAGCAGCCATCTAAGATACTCCACTGGTCTCACCCCTTCGGGAGCAAGGGAGATTGAAGAAAACTAAAAACACAAAGGAAAGATTAGTCCAAAAGACTAATGAAGCACAAGTACTACAGCCTCCACCAGACATGAGTACAGCACAACTAGATGGTGCCCAGCTACCACCACTGACTGTTCTGACAGGGATCACAATAGAGGGTCCTGGACAGAGCTGGAGAAAAATGTAGAACAAAATTCTAACTCACACACACACAAAAAAAGACCGGACTTACTGGCCTGACAGATACTGGAGAAACCCAGAGACTATGGCCCCCAGACACCTTTTTAGCTCAGTAATGAAGTCACTCCTGAGGTTTACTCTTCAGCCAAAGATTAGACAGGCTGTCATGGATTGATTGTGTCCCCCAAAAATATCTGTCAACTTGGCTAGGTCATGATTCCTAATATTGTATGATTGTCTACCATTGTATCATCTGATGTGATTTCCCTATGTGTTGTAAATCCTATCACTACGTAATGAGATGGATTAGTGGCAGTTATATTGATGAGATCTACAAGATTATATCATGTGTTAAGCCAATCTCTTTTGTGATATAAAAGACAGAAGCGAGCAGAGAGACAGGGGGACCTCATACCACCAAGAAAGCAGCGCTGGGAGCAGAGGACGTCCTTTGGACCTGAGGTTCCTGTGCTGAGATGCTCCCAGACCAAGGGAAGATTGATGACAAGGACCTTCCTCCAGACCCGACAGAGAGAGAAAGTCTTTCTTCCCTTGGAGCTGGCACCCTGAATTTAGACTTGTAGCCTACTAGACTGTGAGAGAATAAATTTCTCTTTGTTAAAGCCATCCACTTGTGGTATTTCTGTAATAGCAGCACTAGATAACTAAGACACAGGCCCATAAGACAAAACAAGACTAAAGGGGCACACCAGTCCAGGGGAAAGGACTAGAAGGCAGGAGGGGATAGGAAAGCTGGTGATTGGAACCCAACGTCGAGAAGGGAGAGTGTTGACATGTCGTGGGGTTGGTAAATAATGTCACAAAATAATATGTGTACTAATTGTTTAATGAGAAGCTAGTTTGTTCTATAAATCTTCATCTAAAGTACAATAATAAAATAAATAAGTCTAGCTTCAATTCTTGTTTCTTTCATCCTGTTCTCCCCCTCTCCTTATAATCATTTTAAACATTGGTTTAGTTTGTCATATCTGATAGCACTGTATCACATATTTTCATCTTCTCTTTTATCTGTAAAGCTTTAGTGTAACTTGTGGGAGTTGGGATATGACTTAGACTGACTAGGTTGTAGCCATAGGGTACAGTGTAGTTTTACCTCTAAGGGCTGAAGTTGTCCCCAAGGCCAGAGGTTCCCTTTCTGTTTATACATAAACTGTGTGCCTGTATATGTACACACATGTGTATGTACACACATGTTGTAGCTCTAAATCCCAAGCAATTATGAGACTGCTGGGATGAAGGCTCTACTATCCAGTTTGATTGGGTCGCACATACAAGACACTTTACAAAGTGTTGGCAATTGAAAGGTGTTATTATTTATAGAAGGTAAACAGTAAACAACAAGAACAAATCACTTACATGAAACAAAAAGTAAACAACAGGAGCAGATTTGAGGTGAACTGGTCCCCTCCACCCCCATGAGTACCCCACTTAGCATTGTAGGAGAGACATCCACTTAACATCTAAAGGGGAACTGCTCACCCCTCCCAAGTGTCATGGATTGAATTGTGTCCCCCCAAAATATTGGTCAACTTGGCTGGGTCATGATTCCCAGTATTGTATGATTGTGTGCCATTCTGTAATCTGATGTGATTTCCTTATGTGTTATAAACTCAGTCACTTGTGATGTAATAAGGTGGATTAGTGTCAGTTATACTGATGAGGTATACAAGATTGGATAGTGTCTTAACCCAGTCTTTTTTGAGATACACAAGAGAGAAGTGAGCAGACACATGGGACCCTCATACCACCAAGAAAGCAGTGCCAAGAGCAGAGCTTTGGTCCTGAGGTTCCTGCACAGAGAAGCTCCCAGACCAGGGGAAGACTGATGACACGGATCTTCCTCCAGAGCCAACAGAGAAAGCGTTCCCTTGGAGCTGATGCCCTGAATTTGGACTTGTAGCCTACTGGTCTGTGAGAGAATAAACTTCTCTTTGTTAAAGCCATCCACTTGTATTTCTGTTATAGCAGCACTAGATGACTAAGATATCAAGTTACCCTTATCCATTTCTGTGTCACTGAGCAGATATGCTGTGGATCAGGTGTCAGCAGGTGTTTCTCTCACTCAGCTGGTATGTTGTCTGCTCGGGTCAGGTGCAGTGGACTGTGTTTGTTCCCTTTCTCTGTGGCTTTTCTTGGCTGGTTGCGGCTCCCTGTGCTTACTGGTCCAGCTCTCAACCAGCAGCTTCGGGACAACCCTGGGCCAGTGCCAGGCTTAGGCTGGCATTACAACTCGAGGAAAAACTGTTATACAGCAACTGCTGTATGGTGTATATGCCAAAGCCTCTATGGGAAACCTCCTGGCCCCCTCAAGACAGGCCTCCTCTAGGCCCCCTCAGGACAGGCGTCTTTTTGGCTTCAGGGTTACAGCTCTCAGCATAGCTGGGGCATCTGTCCCCAAAAGCAGGCTAGCTCGGCCCCCACTCTGCTTGGGCATCTGCCTGCACGGGCCCAGACTGTGGCTGCTTTACCTTTCTTTAGAGGCCTCTTACTCCCTTGGCAACCTCTTGCCCAGTGGTGCTCAGCTCTGTTCTGTGGGCCAACTTGCCCAATGGCGCCATCTGCTGGTTTCATGGTTCATGCCATTGGCACTGCTGCCCCCATTTCTCTGCAGCTCAGCTACGCTGTGCTTGCTGCCATTTCTCTTGGTCTTTAGTGTTAGTGTTACCAGCTCAGTGCAGCCCTTTCACCCAGATGTAGGAGGTTCTCAGTGCAGGGACACCGAGTTGGGCACGTTCCTCTCCATGCTCTTGTTGATCAGGAGGTCCCCTAAAAAACCTTTGGGAGATTAGCTGCTTATGTTGGAAAACTCCTTGTTAATTTCAAGGCGTGGCTTTCATAATCTGCCCAATCCCTTAGGCAGATCATAAACCAACCAATTCTACTGGGTGGATTGCATACCACTTAGGCAGATAACAAACCAACCAATCCTTGCAAGACTGCTTATTCAGATAGCAAATTGATCAATCCTCTGGCAGATTTCGGCCTGACTGATCATTCTGGGAGGATTACAAACCCAGGGCCAGAAAAGCCACATAAGAGAAACTCACTGCACCACATACAGTAAATCTTCAGTGATCTAGACTCAAATCATTTAGAATTTATGGTTATTTTAAGAAAACCAGGTCTAAGACTGGATTATGTTTTGGAATTATACTTAGCAGGAGAAAAACAGTTCTATTTCACATACTTTTTGAAAGAATTAAGTGACATAATGTATATAAAATCTCACCATAGTGTCTGTCAATAGTAAAGCCTCAACTGATATTAGTAGTAGTAGCAGTACTTACAATACTATAGTATTGATAATGCTAAAAAAATTGCAGACCTTATTCCCCTCACCCCCCACCCCCACACACGTATTTAATCATGCTTTGGTAACAGATTAGTAAAATCAGTATTACTAATCTTCCAAAACTCTAGGTACCAACTATATAGTAATTATTTTCATGCAGAAATTTAAAAAATTCAAGAGATATTGAAGGAATGCCTATCACATGCCAGTCACCATGCTAGGCCTTGAACAATTAGGCAGAGGTAATGGGCAGCTGCATCATTAATTAACTGAAGGATAGTTTTCAAGCATCATCTCACACATAGATCATTCTTTTAATAATAATAATAAATTTCTGTTTATTAAGGGTTTTCATTAGATAATATTTTATTGATTTTACCCGAGTTACTTGAAACTCTTCTATTACTCAGGCCTTTTACTACTACTGACCAAAAAAATTTACTGACATTTTATTTTAAATCTATTCTATCAGCAAGCATTTATGGTCTCATACCTTCAGAAGCTTTCATCCAGCTATAAGTAAGTAAGAGTGAGAAAGTAAAATTAGACACCAGAATAGTCATCCAAAATATATTGAGATATACCTTCTAACTTGGTTGTCCCTGTGACTTCCAGAGATTCCAAGGATGGCAGGGTGAGAAGCAGCTTCTGTTCTGCTTCACTGAGCTCAGACTGGCTGATGGAGCACTTGGTGAGAGAGGTCTTGTATAGCTCAAGAGCCGGGTGTATGCTTTCAATAAAGCCACTACTGTTGTTTAAATAGAGTTCAATGTGCTGTGAAGCTGAGAAGACTACCATCAGAACCCTGAGCATCCCCTGGTCCACAGCATCACTATTAGTCACATGTACCTCCAGAACAGGAATCTTGTACTGGTTTGAAGAAAGGTTCCAGTAGCCAGTGCTGATGTCTGGTGGTACACGGAGTCGGATATTCTCAAAACTCATTATGTTCTCCTCTTTTTCAGCTAAATTCTGCTGCCATTCTTTCATAGATTCAAAGGCAGAAGCATAGTCCTCATCTATAGTTGGTGCCTGTGATTTGTCCCAACATGTATCCAGGAATGATAAATCTGCTCTGGGTGGTCTTTTATTTCCTCTTATCGAGAACTGGATGCTCCTCAACAATAACAGGCTTTCTGGGTGGTCAAAAAAGTACTGTAAACTAAGCACATCCAAAGTCAGTGTTTTCCCCTGAAGGAACTGCAAAATAAATGGAGAACATGCAGCAACAGTGTTGCTTCCATAAGCAATTTTTAAGGCAAGAACCAGTAACTCTTCTGAAACCTGTAAAAGGTAACCTTGTGGATATAATTGCCACAATATCCTAAAACACTCCATCTTCAGTGACATTTCCGGATGGTGCTTCAGATAGTCATCATTTTCAGATATAGTCTCAAATAACTGTTTATCATCTACCAAATGAAGCAAATGAGATACAATTTTTGGCCCTCCCTTTGTTGAAGGATGGCTGGAGACATAGATCAGAAAATTTTTACAGATACCTATAGCTATCATAGATGAGTTAATTTGTTTCAAATAATTAAGTCCCAAGTCTTGATCTTCCAGCCTATCCGAATCCAGGAGTTCAATCAGCCTCCTCCCCGCAACAAATTCTTGGAATACAGGATTTAAAAACTGATAGACTGGTCTCAGTCTCTGGGCTGTGAACTTGCTCATCAGGTACATGACTAGATCTTCATTTGCATCAACCCCTGCTTCTGTGAGGTCATCATCACTAAACTCAAAGCAAGATGAAAAAAACCCTTTCAAGGCCAGCTCACCACAGGAGGACACAGTTGCTTTGAGAAGTTCAGCTTCAGTTTTGTGCTTTAAGAAAAGGCATTCCATATAGGACTTGAAAACAGCTATATCATCAAAGGACTGGTCAAAAGGATACTGACACCAGTTAGCACAGACAGCTGCCACAAAGAGGGGAGTTTTCTGAATTCCCCGCAAGCTTTCCTTCTTTCCAAAGTGAATCATCAAGTTTTGCAGACGGGTCATATTGTGTGAAAACAGCTTCCGTAATATATAGATGGTGTTATAGAAGGGAAACTCTTTGATCTCTAGAATCGTATGTACGTATCGGCGGATGTCCCTGGTCCTTTTTGTATGGACAGCAATCAGTAGGCAGGTCTTTGATGAGTGGTTTTTTTTAATTAGTTTTTCTATGACTTGGGGGATTGAGCACATTTCTTTGTAATCATCCAAAAGGAATAACACCTGATTCTTTAACTGCTGGATGATGTTCCTCAGGCACATTTCAGTAACAGATCCTTCTGTCTCTAGGAGTTGGTCACAGATGATGTTGGCCAACCCCTGGTCCAGTCTGGCAGAGCTAAGAGAGAGATAGAAGACCAGCCGGAACCTGTTTAACAAGGGACAGCATCCAGATGCCCACAGAAGAGCTATTTTCTTCAGGAGGGATGTCTTTCCACTACCAGCTTCGCCTTCAACACACATGACAGAGTTCAATTTGGCAAAGACCTCAGGCAACACAAAGGGCTTTTGCACATGGTTGCTGATGTGCTTTGAAGAAATGGACAGATCACAACTCAGCAACTGGTCAGTAGCTAGATGGGAAGAGACCTCAAGCAAAAACATGTGGCGGAAACTGGCACTGGTGTAAACTGCTCTTAGTCGCTCACTCAGACTCTTGGCCTCCCGAAACCACTGGGCTTCCTCCCGTGCTACCCCTGTGAAGATAAAAGAAAGATGCACAGTTGGGACTGATAGTCACATCTCTGTCAATCCAAATACCATGCTCTTTTCACTACATGATTCTGCCTCTACTACTGATGTATTAGGATCTTCCACAGCCTTCTATGATTCCCAGATTGGGATGCTCCCACTGCTCTATCCACAAAGTCAGAGTATGGAGCGCATGTGCCCAAACTACCCCACTTTTCATGAAGACGTGGACAAAATCAGTGCTTATTAGGAGCATCTTGGAGTCCTATAATTTCCTATTTAAAAATTTTCAGCAAAGAAATCTGCTGAATGGTCCCTTTAAATAGTGGTTTGTTTTTATTCAAGATACACTGACTACTATCAATTTGGTCCTTCATTCGCTCTGGAGACGTGACAAGAACCCTGACTTTCTCTCATGTACAACGCTCCTCATTTCAATGCTGCTCCTCCATTAGCAGCTCTTCCCACAAATACAAATACTCTCTCTTTCCAAATCCTCTGCATACAAATATATTTGAACATATATATAATTCTATGTGCTACTTTACAATTCTTACCTGACACTGTAGAACTAATTGCTACTGAATCTTCAACATTGCTTTCACTTGTGGTTTCCTGTGAAAAATAAAATGCTTTATTAAATAAAAAACTGAGTAAGAGGTTGGGGCATCATGTTATAATTGGAGGCTAAACATCTTCTAAATGCAGCCCACCCTCAAATACTTATGCTGACCAGAGGGAGGGGCGTTGCAAATACAAAACAAGAAATAGTCTGCAAATGTGCAAAAACATGTGTTCCTGGGAAGTACATCTACTATAGATCCCATGAGTGAATAAGGCAGTGGATACTATCCAGGTATTTGGAATCATATCACCTAGAGCAAAAAGGATTCTCCAAAGATAATTAGACACAGCTTCTGCACTTAGTTATTAACTACATTTTCAATAATACACACCCAAGATATAGAAAGGTTGTTTTTTCCTTTAAAAAGTAACTAATTTTATTTTTATATGTCCCCAATTTTTTCCCTTCAATTCCATTTTCCAATTCACAAATATAAAAGATGAATCAAGTGAATAACAAGTTGCTTTGTTTTCTTTTTGTGAGATAACAAACAAACCTAATACATAGCCTTAAAATAAGGTGGTATCTGTGTGCATTAAATTGATAGTGGCTTATGTCCCAGAGAACTATGTAGACTTTCTCAACTTAAAGGGTCAAACTATTACCTGGGTGTATGATTTGGTTGGTCATTTGCTTTCGTTTAAAAAAAAAAAAACTTCTCAGTCCTGAGAAAGGCTAAGTAGTAACTCAGGGCTTACTGCCCTCCAAGAGAAGATCCCAGATGGAATCCAGGTAACTGGCTTGTTAACAAACTCTAAATGTAAAAGAGTCTGTGCCCCAAAGGAGAAGTGATTGCCTATACATTTTCTGAAGCTAGGTATCTAGGTGTATCTCTTGTTTACTATAGTATCCTCATTTGCACCTAGCACGTGGTAGGTGTTTATAGTAGGTGCTTAATAGATATTTGTAGAATTCACTTATTTATTTATGATAAGCAATGCTTGTCCAGAATCAGTGTTCAATCATGTGATCACGTGCTGCTAAAATAAAGAAAGTGGTGTTGTTCTTTACCGTTATTTCAGAAAGTTCACCATGGCTCTGAAGGCATGGAATCACTTCTGCAGAGGACTTCATATTTTGGAGAAATTGACAACTACGCAGAAAAGATAAGAGTTATAAAAATATTTTATGCAATTAAACATTTGCACTAGGTGTTTAAAAACATTTTTAGAGTTTTAATGGCAAGAATTAATTATAAAACTAACACTTCCAGTAATTCTCTCTGTCAGTGTCATATCACACAAGACATTTAAACTGTGGCTCTCAGCAATAGAAATGTCAATGGTTATAAAGTAATGGTGAGGATATCCAGGGAATTTGGTGGAATGAGTGTATATTTAGCACTCACCCATGAAACCAACTAAAATGAACCTAAAGAACCAAAAATAAAGATGAAAACTCCATCTGTGGACCCTGGAACAAAAAAAGGACATTAGTGGAAAAACTGATGAAATCCAAATAGTTTGGTGTTCAGTTAATAGTAATATACCAATGTTGGGTTTTTTATTTTCAAAAATGTACCATGGTAATGTAAGATATTAGCATTAGGAGAAAATGGGAACTCTTTGCATTATCTTTACACTTGTCTGTAAATCTAAAATTATTCCTAAATAAAAAGTTTATTAAAAAAAAAACAACTCAATATCAAAACAGAAGAATGGCCACGAGCATACTCCTTATGAACTATTTGTCAGATATGATGAAACTGAGAAACAAATACCCTCTAAACTCAAGTATGATGTCTGCTTGAAGTACTAAGGGAGAAAATTCAAAAAAGCTCTACCTATAATTATTAACTTGAAGAGGTGAGAACTATAAATGTGAATAGGTCAACAGAAAAACTAGGAGTAGCCAGCTGTCTTGAGTGCAGTTCCATGCTACAGAATAACAGGAGAGCAGTGGTAAAGCAAGGGTATACTTCATTCTTATTTTCCCTAGATGGTTTGGAGATGAGCCCAGGAATAGAACCGTAGCTACAGGGAAACAGCAAGTAGAACTTTTAATGTTTCTGCCCAAGGACAGTTATACAGTGACAAGTAAAAACAGACCTATCAGGTTAAAGGACTTAGAAAGAAGATGAAATATAGACTTTTTCATACAAATAAAAGCCAATAAAATTAGTTACCAGCAGATGTACCACAAAAAATGTTAAAAGAAGTTCTTCGAGTAAAAGGAAAATAATACCAGATGGAAACTTGGTTATATCCAAAGAAATAAAGAGAACCAGAAATGGTAACTATGTGGGTAAATAGAAAAGACATTTTTCTCACTTTTATTCATTTAAAAGGTAATTGACTATTTAAGGCAATGATCTAACACTATACTGTGAGATTTATATGTGGAGGTAAAATGTATGACAACAATAGCACAAAAAATAAGAGGGGAGAAATGAAAGTATACTGTTGCATGGTTTATACATTGTATGTCAAGTGTTATAGTACTATTTAAAGATAGACTGTTATATGTTAACCATGCATATTGTAAACCTTAGAACAAGCACTAAAAAGACAAAATAAGGAGATATAACTAATAAGCTAATAATAGAGATAAAATAGAATATTAAAAAATACTCCAAAAAAAAAAAAAGTCAGAAAAAGAAAGGAAAGAAAGAAGAGATGGGGTAAATAGAAAGTAACAAAATAGTAGATTTAAATCCAACCATATTGAGCCCTGGTGGTTCAGTGGTTGCTCAGTGGTTAAGAGCTCAGCTGCAGTTTGAATCCACCAGCCACTCCTTTGAAACCTTATAAGGCAACTCTACTCTGTCTTATAGGGTTGCTATGAGTCGGAATCGACTGGATGGCAATGGATTTGGTTTTTGTTTTTGGTATATTGATCACTACATTAAATGTAAATGTTCTAAATGGTTCCATTAAAGGCAGATACCATCAGATTGTTACAAAAAAAAGAAGACCCCACTAAATGTTGCGCACAACTCACTTTAAATATAAAGTCACAGATAGATGAAAAATGAAATGATAAAGAGATATGGTATGCAAAAAACTAATTCTAGAAAAGCTAGAGCGGCTGTATTAATATCAGATAAAGACTTAAGAATAAGGAATATTATCAGGGATAAAGAGGAGCATTTCAGATATCCTCTGACTATAAAAGAGTAAAGGGCAAAGAAAAGCCAAGGCACACTCCTAAAGAAAGAAGGAAAAGAAAAAGGAATTGCATGGAAAATATGAAAACTATGCTCCATATTATTATAATTAGATTGGCAAAATTAAAATTTGGACAATATCAAGTTGGTGAGGAAGTGGACCAAAAGAAACTCATCTATGCTAATGGGAATGTAAATCAGTACAACCACCTTGGAAAAAGTTCTGAATAATCTAGTGAAGTTGAATATGTACAAACGCTATAACTCTGCAGTCCCATGCTTTATTATGTATCTGGAGAAACACACATGAACACCAGGAAATAAATATAAGAATGTTCATAACAATACTCTGAAAACAACCCAGATGTTGAATCAACAGCAGAACAGATAAATTACTATATATTCACAAAATAATATATAGCAATGAAAACAAATGTACACATAACTGTGCATGAATCTCTAACACAATGTGGAGCAAATAAAGTCAATTACAGAAGAATTATGCACTATGCTTCTGTTAATTCAACAACAGGCAAAGCTAAATATATTTAAGGATACGTATGTAGTTGGTAAAACCATAAAGAGAAGCAAAGGAATAATTCAAAATTCAGGATCATGTTTACCTCTGGATTGGAGAGACAAGGATGTAATTGGTGTGGGAAGGTCACACAGGGGCCTTCTAAGGCATTGATAATGTTCTACATGTTAACTTTAGTGGTAGATTCATGGGCTTCTTTTTATTATTGTTCTTTAAACCATACATAAATATTTTAGATACTCCCTTGTGGGCATCTTAATTTGCAATTTAAAAAAAAGAGGCAGAAAAAAAGTAAAAAGCCACACAAAAAGGGAGTTGATAGATTACAGAGAAAGTTCTAAATAAAACTAGACTGCATCCTAGCTAATCTTTGCAAGAATTAAGAAAAATGCCCCCGCTGTTCTCAGCAATTTATTACATGCTATATCCAAATAAAAAAGAAAGAAAAAAAAATTAACAACTGCTGTAAAAACATCTTCAAAGCAACATCCTCTTAGTTGTTGTTGTTAGGTGCCATCAAGTCAATTTAGACTCATAGCGACCCTATGTGACAGAGCAGAACTGCCCCATAGGGTTTTCTAGGCTATATCTTTACACCATCAGATCAACAGCTCTTTCTCCCATGGGTTCAAACTGTCAATGTTTTGGTTAGCAGTTTAGTGCTTAACCATTGTGCCCCCAGAGCTCCTTACATCCTCTTTACAGCTTTACAATTCGATGGAAGTATTCATTTTAAAACCTGCATATATTATTTCTTTCTTAAAAAAAAAAAAAACTCTTACTAATTACAAGTGAAAACACAATAAATTTCTTCTTGCAATTGAACATTTCTGAAGAATTTGGTAGATGAAAAATAAATAAATAAAAAGTTTAAACTATTTTTAAACTTTAAAGACTCACACATAGGCATGTCTTCATGAAATATTAGAACACTGGAAATAAACAGAAAATCCTAAAAGCTTCAAGAGGAAAAAGAAGTAGCTTGCAATCAAATGATTAGAAATCAGAAAGGGATGAAATTTCTCAACGGCAACACTGGAAGCTAGTAGAAAATGTAGCAATGCCTCTATAATTTGGAATTAAACTGACTTCCAACCTAGAATTCTATACCTCGCTAAACCACCAAATAAGTGTGAGAGTTGGAAAATATATATATATATCTTCATATATACCCAAACTAAAAAATAGTATCTCCTATACAATCTTTCCCATGGAGCCCTGGTGGCAAAGTGGTTACCTCAGGCTCCTAACCAAAAGGTCAGCTGTTCAAATCCACCAGCCACTCCTTGGAAACCCTGTGGGGCAGTTCTACTCTGTCCTATAGGGTTGCTATGAGTTGGAATCAACTCAACAGCACACAACAATACAACATACAATTTTTCCCAGGGGCAGTGGAGGAGTGTTCCATTAAAATGAGGGAGTAAACCAAAAAGGGGGATGACGTTAGATCCAGAAAACAGGAGATACACAGGAGAGAGGCAATAGGAATCCCCAGGATGATCATGAAGAAAGAGCCCAGGATCCTAGGATGACTATAAATAGTTCACATTGGAGCAGTTCAGAAGGCTTCAGGAGAGACTCCTCTAAGATGAAAATGATGGGAAACCTGATAGGTATCAAGGACTTGAGAGGCGATTTAAACATATGGGAAAATTTGAAGATGAACTGGTGGTAAGTACATTTAAAAACTAAGCTGATGGCAATAATATAAAAAATACAAATGTTGGCAAGATGTGGAGAAATTGGAACCCTCATATACTGCTGGTGGGAATTTAAAATTTTAAATAATGTAGATGCTGTTGAAAATAGTTTGGTGGTTCCTCAAAAAGTTAAACATAGAATTACCATATGACCCAACAATTCCACTTCTAGGTGGAATATACCCAAACGAACTGAAAACAAGTACTCAAACAAGTACTTGCACATAAATGTTCATAGCAGTACTATTCATAATAGCCAAAAGGTGAAAACAATCCAAATGTCTATCATCAGATAAATGGATAAATGAATTGTGGTATATACATAAAAATGAATGAAGTAGTGATAAACATGTTACAATGTAGATGAATCTCAAAAATATTACGCTAAGTGAAAGAAGCCAGAGACGAAAGGTCACATATTTTATGATTCCATCTATATGAAATATACAGAATAGGTAAATCCATAAAGAAAGCAGATTGATGGTTGCCAGGGGCTCCAGCAGGGGAATAGGGAGTAACTGCTTAATGGGTATTGGGTTTTCTTTCGGGATAATGAAAATATTTTGGAACTAGACAAGGAGGTGATTGTACAAACATTGCAATTGTACTAAATGCCACTGAACTGTATATTTTAAAATGGTCAATTTTATGTTATGTGAATTTCAGCTCAATAAAAAAACTAAACAAACCTACTAACAAGCAAGACAATTATTATTTCGTAGGAAAATAAAAAGTTGTGCAGGAAAGGAAAATAAGTCATAATTTACTACAGTGTTCAGCTTTGCATAGCATTTATATAGTCATGATAATGTAAACACCAAATATTGATCTAAACAAAACTATGATATAAGTATAATGAGAAGTAGGATCTATGGGAAGGGTGTCATGAGAGCAAGGGAGTGAAAGAGATAAAAACTCATCCTTCATAGTATGAATCAGAGGAGTGGGCAAAGACTTAATAGAAGATAAAATAAGACGGAAAATGAGGAAACATTTGTTAAAGTGTATCCAAGGTCATAGACACTGAACATTCATTCCACTCACTTGGGAAAATATTTGGCATGATCTTCTAATGGGTCATCACCTTCCTTCCAATTCTCCAAACATCCTCCACAGGAAAAACACTGGACAATGTCCTTTACACCTAGAAATAAGGAAATTCTATCAGTGACACGGGCATGTGCATTTGTCAAGTGACAAGAAGATAATAACCACTAGGCTTTTATTAACAAAAAACCCCACTTGTATCTCCAATTGGTTTTTGTGACTAAGTCAGAAGATGGGTTACCAATGAGGCAATATTCTGTGTTGGATTCTTTTCCCACCAATACAGTAATCAGCAAATAGTCACTGACTACTCCTATGTACCATGCACTTTGATGAACACCCTCTCCCACCCATCCCTTCAACCAAGAGAGAGGGTTGCGAATCAGAATGTGAGTATTACTGGAATCAAACTCCATGAGGAAAGATATTTTTGTCTTTTTTGCTCACTAATGCATCTCATGAACCTAGAAGAGTGCCTAACACTTAGTAGACACCCAGTAAGTATTTTTAATGAATAAATCTAAAAGACTATATTTGAATCTCAGAAAAAAAAATCATTATGAGCAAATGTAGCAGCCCATATGTAAACAGGTTGAAGAATCAAATGCCCCTTACCACATTATTTCCAGGTTTATTTCACTAAAAGTAGAATCAAGTGTCCTTGTGAGACTATTTCTTTGGAAGGATATTAGTATTTGACCCCATTAAAGGATTGAACTAGATATGGAAACATCTATTCTCTTCCTCCCACTCTTGGGCCCCTGCAGGCACCGCAGAGCTAGGGAAGAGGAAAACCTCCTTTTGTGTCTGACCAAAAATCTGGTGGCACAATAGTTAAGCACTCTGATGCTAACCAGAAGGTCAGCTGTTCAAATCCATCAACAGCTCCATGGGAGAAAAGACCTGGTGATCTACTCCCGTAAAGATTACCGCTTAGGAAACCCTATGGTGAAGTTCTGCTCTGTCCTGTGGGGTCTCTATGAGTTGGAATCACCCTGACAGCACACAACAACACAAGAGTTTGCAAGACCCTGAAAGAGTCAGCTGACCAGGATTTGTGAGCTGTAGTGGAGACTAGAAAGGAAGAGGTAAGGACACTGGACAGAGGGGCCCTGAGGAACGCTGGCATGAAGAAGACAAAATAGATACAGTAGGGAGAAAGAGTGAAATACTCTCTTTCTAAAGGCTTAAAATTGTGAAGCATTAAGATATTTTGTGCTGATGGAATATGTTTGTTAGATAAAGTCACAACTGCATCCCCCTACTCTGTACTGCTCTGTGACATATGTGATATCTGCTTGCCCTCCCAGTAAAAGATTTACATGAACTTCCGCTGTAACTCAGTGTATGTGTTCATGCTTGGTCTAGAGAAGATTGACATGGAAGTTCCCAGAAAGGGCATAGTATCCTTTCCCTGATCACTTTGTTGTACTCCAAGTAGAGATACAGCTAGATCAACACACCCTTTGTGGATTACAGAGTGAAACTGCCTGCTGGCCAGCAGCTAAAAAGAGAATACTGTATAAACTGGTGGAAGAGTCTGTATGCTTAGGAATCATAAAATTGAATTTCCTGACTTTTTCCTCCAAGCAGAGTGTGGCAAAGATTGCTATCCACACCCCTGGTATGTCCCATTCTTCTACAGTAATAGAACTCCAACTTTTAGCTGGGCATCTTGCCATCCAGGGAAAAGATTGGATTTCACTCCTCTTACAGCTAGGTATGGCCATGTGACTAAGTTCTAAAAAGATATAAGAGATAAAAAGACCTAAGAGATATAAGCAGAAGCATCATGTGACAGTTTCCAGGAAACTTCTGGGGAAAAAAATGTGTAGAAAGTTGTTATGGATTGAATTGTGTCCCCCTGAAGTATGTCTTGGAATTCTAAACCCTATACTTGTGGATGTAATGTAATGTAATGTAATTACCTTCCATAATGCAAGTTAATGTAATGCAATCAACCACTGAATTATATAAAGAGCAGTATGGACACAGACATGTGTGCACATACTGGCTAAGACAGATGCCATGTTAAGAATGTGAAGAACCAAAGAACACTTGGGGCTACTCACAAAGAAGGAATCAGCATGGCTAAGACCCTGATTTAGACTTTTAGCCTCTGGAACTTTAAGAAAAATGGATTTCTGTTCTCTAAAGCCACCTCTTGTGGTATTTGTGTTATAGCAGCTCTAGAAAACTAAGACAAAAGTAAAAAAAAAGAAAAGATAATTATCCAAAACACAATATCTGTATTAATTGTTAGTCCAGCCATTAAAGTTTCAAGTTTGGAGCTTCACAATCTAAGGGAGATGTGGAAAACTGGGACAGGATTTATGATACATCAAGGAAAAGGGATCTATGAGGAATGGTTTAAAGAGTAGAGATTGTTGAGCCTGGATAAATGTAAGTCCAGGATCATAAAGTCTATATAGGTATAAATGGGCAGCAAATCAAGAGCTTAGCATAAACTATTCACTTACCTGTGTAGTAAAGACCTGCTTTGGCCAGAGCTGTAATTCCCACAAGTGACTCGTGGGGCCAGTTCTTAAAAGAGTCCAGTCGTAGTTCTTCATGAGCAAAGATGCTGTCATTGCAATAAGCTTGAATAGAAAGTGTATGGTGAGACCAGAAAACTTTGATATGGCAAGTATCATTCATATTTACAGATGGAATAATATGATGTATGGAATTTGCTTCAAAATAATTAGGGGATGTGGTTAGGAAAGAAGGAGGGCCTATAGATGAAACAAAATTGATTACGTGTTAAAATTGTTAAAGCAAGGTGTTGGATATAGAGTGGGTGTATACTATTCTCTTATTTCTTTATATGTTTGAAAATTTCTACAATAAAAAGTACTAAAAAACTATCTCTTTGTCATCTAGGATCAGAATTAAAAAAGAAAACGCTCAGTATTAAGATTGGAGGCAGGCAATTTTCCTTTTACACCCCTTAGGAGCTGGTGGTTTATTTCTTGCCCTTTGGGATATTCGCTTTATGGGATGGTCTTCCCACCTTGGGCTGGCCCTGGGCTTTGTTTCCTGTGTTCTGCACCCCATGAGGACTTGACACTAAACTCATGTTAACTCGGTTCACCAAATTTTCTCAAGGTGAAAGTTTGATTTGGTGTTCCACCTAACCCTGGTATTCCTTTTTAGCCTGAACATTCCTTAATTTCTTATATATATATATATATAATTGTACTTTAGATGAAGGTTTACAGAACAAATAGTTTCTCATTAAACAGTCAGTACACGTATTGTTTTACGACATTGGTTAACAACCCCATGACGTGTCAACACTCTCCCTTCTCCACCATGGATGACCTTTATTTATTTATTTATTTTGGTGAAAATATACATAGCTAAAGTCACACCATTTCAAAAGTTTCTACATGTATAATTCAGTGACATGGATTACATTCTTCCAGTTGTGCTGCTATTCTTTTCCAAATTATTCCATCACCATTATCTTCAACTCACTGCTCCCTAGGCTTCCCATTAAACCTTTTGAGTTGCTGTTGTCAATTTGATCTCACATAGATAATTTTTTTTTTTTTTTACCTTAGATGAAGGTTTTCAGAACAAATAGTTTCTCATTAAACAGTACACGTATTGCCCTATGACAGTGGTTAACAACCCCACAACATATCAATACTGTCCCTTCTCAACCTTGGGTTTCCTATAATCAGCTTTCTTGTCCCCTCCTGCCTACTAGTCCTTGTCCCTGGACTGCTGGGTCTCATTAGTCCCATTTTGTTTTATGAGGCTGTCCAATCCTCAGCTGAATGGTGAACTTCGGGAGCGATTTCACCACTGAGCTAAAAGGGTGTCTGGGGGCAATACTCTCGGGGTTTCTCCAGTCTGTCAGGCCAGTAAATCTTGTCTTTTTATTGTGAGTTAAAAATTTTGTTCTACATCCTTTTCCAGCTCTGTCCAGGACCCTCTATTGTGATCCTGGTCAGAGCAGTCAGTGGTGGTAGCCGGGCACCATCT